GGGCTCTGCTCCCAGGGAACGGGCGATGGGACGAGGGGAAATGGCCTCAAGTTGTGCCAGGGCAGGGTTAGGTTGGATATTAGGAAAGATTTCTTCACAGAAAGGGCTGTCAAGGGAAGGGGCTGCCCAGGGAAGGGGTCGAGTCCCCATCTCTGGGGGGATTTAAAAGCCGGGCAGCTGAGGTGCTTAGGGTCAGGGTTTAGTGGTGGGATGGCAGGGTTAGGGTAATGGTTGGGCTTGATGATCTTAAAGGGCTTTTCCAACCTAAATGATTCTGTGATTCTATGATTCTATGACTGTAGGCAGCAGCGTGGCATCTCCTACTCAGGGCCGCGGTGCTGAGATCCCGCACCAGGGCCACGAGAGCAGCTCCCTTGGGCCACTGCTCTCCCCATGGCTCGTGACATCGGTGCTGTGGCCTCTTCCTGTGTGAGCCCATAACGCTCAGCTACTCCGCCACGTCCTCGCAGGTACTGGGGATGCCAGAACTGCAATTTTAGAGACGTCAGGAGCTTTAAGCAAAAGAATAGAGTGTGAATCCATCCTGCTTTTCAATCTACCCCAAAAGCCAAGCAAGTTGGTTAATGAGAGCACAGCTTCGTGACATCGGTGCTGTGGCCTCTTCCTGTGTGAGCCCATAACGCTCAGCTACTCCGCCACGTCCTCGCAGGTACTGGGGATGCCAGAACTGCAATTTTAGAGACGTCAGGAGCTTTAAGCAAAAGAATAGAGTGTGAATCCATCCTGCTTTTCAATCTACCCCAAAAGCCAAGCAAGTTGGTTAATGAGAGCACAGCTACTTTTTTTAAAAAAAAAAAAAAAAAAAGACATAAAATAGTACGGTTTTCAAAATGTTGGCAATTAACATGTGCTTCAAATGCTCAAAACAGACCCAAAACTCTGGTATTGTCAGTGGAAAGTTGTGCTTGTCAAAATTTTCACGCTTTGTTTTGTGGTTCTGAGGGATCTCAGCCCAGCGTTTTACAGGAGGGAAATTGCTGCCAGGCCAGGATTTCATTTGGACTAAGTAAAACTTTCAGAGAAAGGGAGAAGTACTTCTGTAAAGATCATGCTATCAAGTGGCACCTCTGGACACTCCCCAGGGGCCAGGAGGAGCCGATGGGGATGTGCAGGAGCGAGGGGCGTTGCACGGGGGCGCGCTGCCGGTCTGGGGTGCCACGTAGGTGCTGATTTAGGCTCGCGTGGCTACTAATCCTAATAGATCCTTTTACAAGTAGACTACTCTTGTTGTTCTCTCCAAGTGCTGGTTTTCCCAGATGGACTTTCACTGAATGCTGCCTATATAAAAATCAAGCTGCCGTCTAGGAATCTCTAACTCCGGCTGCAAAATCACATCCTTTTATTTTTCTCCCTCTCATTCTGATTGATTTCCACAGGATGATTTCCATAGCCATTCCCCCTGTTACTTCTAGAAATGATTCCTGTACAAGCAGCAGATGAGAAATGAGCAATAAAAAGAAAGCAAACTACGGCTTCTGGGTTGCAAAGCCACAAAGCAGAGGGGAGAGGCGGAAGAGGAGCGGGTCCGGGGTGTCATTTTGGCTCTTTGTGTTGTAATTGTCTACATTTCAGGTCACCGTGCCTCACTTCAATCTCTTCCTTTTTCTCCAGTCCCCGCAGAAGTGTTTGTACAGAGCGGGGGAATATCATACATTCCTCTGTGCAGCTTTCTCAGGGCTGGCTTTCTTCTCCCTTCTCAAAATCAGTCCTTCAGCCTCGCAGAAAAGCATTCGGAATGCAATTTTTGAATGCTTTTGTTACCTGCATTATTGAAAATCCATTCAAGCAAATATACTGAGCTGAGGGTTTTCTTGACCTTTATTAGATGCCCCTCCTTAGCTGCATAGTCTTGAAATAATTGGAAGCTTTTGTGGATTCCACTATCTACTCGGGAGAAAAGAGGGGCTGGACAAAAGTATCCCAGCCTGCAGCCCACGTCGAGTAATGTATCGTCACCTATCGCAATAAGCAGCGATGCAAACTACAAGGAGAACTTTCCCACCGGCAAAACCCTTCCCAGGTGTGAAGCGCAGGGGAAACGTGATGAGTTTTAGGGAGCAAAGCAGAAGTGGTTGCAACTCTGCCGTTCAGGCACGGCGCGGCCGTGTGAGTTGTGTGCGTGTGTGATCCGGGCGGCCGTGCTGGGTGTTCAGCTCCAAGATATCGCCAGAGGCTGATGGCGAAGGGGAAAATATTTAACCGCAGCGGAAGATATAAAATTCTTCCCCCTGAATCTGTTCCAATGAGATTTGCTGGTAGACGAAGCAGTTGCGTGGATGTTTCTGAGCCTGTTCGCTAGAAGGCCGTGCTGAGGGATGCTGGCAGAAGTTTAATTTTTATCAGCTCCTCTTAGGTGGCACCCTTAAGTTTATCAAACAAGCAAAGCTGATTTGCTCTTCGTTAGTCTCAGTTGCATGAATCGGTTGCCAAGTAAACAGGATTTTGCATTTTCCTAATTACTTTCATATTTGTGTTTTACCTCTATTTGTTCTCTTGCAAAAACTGGTCCTAATAATTAGTCAGGCAAAAAAAAAAAAAAAAAGGGGGGGGGGGAGGAAAAAAGGGACTTCTGAGGGTTTTTTCTCCCTTATAAATTCATTTTTGTTACAAGCATCTTTTATACATATTACTAAAGGGAGCGCACTAAGAAATGCAAATAATAGTTCTTTATTTTATTATGACAGTTAATTAATAGCAACCTGTTTTAATGAATAAAGTCACTCAGAGTCCTTCAGCACTTCCTAAGTAGAGGCCAGAATCTGTAGGGATTCTTTTTTCCCCCCGCATTGTATAGCTTCGAGACTCCGCGCACTATATAGGGCCTGTATAGAAATGCTCGCTAATGAAGAGGGAGGGCGAGGAACTTGTCTGCATTCAAAGATCACTGGTGAGTCATTCAGCGAGAAAAGGCCCCTTGCTAGGAATAGTCACAGTTCCGCGGCATTGTGCTAGCAAAAGGGTTTGATCAAAGGTCTCCTGCCGAGCTTGCATGGTTTCCTTTCATACGACGACCATAATTAAAACCACTAATTCTCTTTTAAAATGCTGCAGGATGCCATGTAGGCATCTGTCTGGAGTGTCCTTTGTGCTGTCGGGAGCTGTTAAGGACCAGCGCCGAGGGCTTTTCAGCGACATGCCAGTCAGGAAGGTGATTCGACATAAGGGTGCCTCTGAAGGCTTGACAGGGCCTTGACTACACAATTCCAGCTGAATTTGCCCCTTGTCAGCTGCCAGTAAATAAATCTCAAAGAGGGGAGGGGGGAAAAGCTGAAGTTTCATTACCTGATCCCCGGGGCTTTGTTGGTTTTGGCATCGCCCAGGGGGAAGCCCTCGCCCCTCGGGGCCGGGGAGCTGGAGATGGCCATTGGAGACCCCGGCGCCCGGGCCGTTTGAAGACCGTCAATACTTGTAACAGTTCAGCTGTTAGGAAGACAAATAAATGGAAGAGCCCATTAATCCCCTTTGGGTACTCGGTGCCTTTTGCCCTTTTATCGCAGCCTTATTAGGTTCCTACTCATCTTGAACCAGGAGGGATGAATTGAAGTTGTTGAGCGCTAATTGGCAAAGACTTTTCATCGCAGGCCAAGAACTTTCACTGACTTGAAAGTAACTTCGCCATGGGGAGGATCAGCAAATTCTTGCCTCGCCATTAAAACAAAACCCCCAAATCCCATGGGGATTCAATGCGGTGTTTAAAAAAAAAAAAAAATTAAAAAAAGAGGCAACTGCTAAATTGTTGGGCTTGTCCTTCATGAGGATGTTGGCAACTTATATTTGCTCTGTAAAAGAGAGTCACGGAGCCAGACGCTGCGCAGGGCGATCCATCCTGAAACACTGTTGAAATCCACGTGTCTTACATCTGTACGCATGCGTTACCAAAACCTGCTCATGGGCCAGGCTTCCTGCAAGCAGCCTGGGAGATGATTTGCAAAGTCACACCATCCTTCTTGACAGGTTGCAACTGCTCGACGGTTGAGCAGAGCAGTGCTGAGGTTTACATGTGTCCGGGGATGATTCGGGCTGCCCTCGAGTCATCCCCAGGTTTGGTGATGGGATTTATAGACAGGAAATATTCCAGTGTGG